GGAAAACTTATCCGAAGGTCTACGAATCTCGGATGGACGCAGGACGGTTTTAGTGCAAAAATTATGCCAAATCTTATAACAGCGAAATGAAGGACGGGTTTTCATGTAGAGTATGAGATGTTGGCAACGCGAAAAGGAAAATTAAACATTTGAACATGTCAAGGCATTTAAAAGCCTGCGGTCTCAATGTTTATTTGAAGAACTTTGTAACCGTCGAGCATGAGGCTCCCTAATGCCCATACTATCAACCATAAGAGTACAAGTATTATCGCACAAAGGTAAATCACGCACTTAAGTAACGCCTATCTGGGTAGTTATGCATTTATGCAACAAATCGTTGGAAATCAGTAATAAGAATGGAAGGTAATAAATTTCAAAAAATTCAAGAACGCGTCACAAGCCGCATATTCACAACTTCTTCACAACTTCTTCTTCACAACTTCTTCTTTTGCCAACGGACGCGCGGACGCGCCCATCAAGGCAACAAGCCACCAGCCAGCCAACAGGCAACCCAGCAACCAAGCCACTCAACCATCACAGTCTCGCCGAGGCGGTGCAATCAAGCAGTAGCGCGACATTCAGACATCAGCAACAATGAATGGCGTTGCTGTGCCTTATGCATGCCATGCCATTTCCCAGGCGACAGACAACTCCCCCAGGGAGTTATCAGCATGTATATGTACATGTGTATGTTGTATGTAAGCCCAACAACAAGCCAAATCAAGGGAATCTTCTTGCTCTTCCGCTTATGCGTTTTTGTGATGGAGTGTAGACTTGGCAATAAATGAAATGAAAATGAAATTGATTGAAAATGAAAAGCAAAAGGTTGAAAAAATACTAAAAATCTGTTATGTATTTGGCATACACAACAACAACGATGTAAATAAAATAAGTATGCAACGCATTGCATTGCGCCTGCGCCTGCGCGTCTCTAACGACGACCACCGATCACATGCGTCAATGCGGTGCAACGCGGATGATGAAGTGATTTTACAGCGTAAATAGACAAAATGATGGATGGTTTTTTGTGTTCTTCGCTCAGCTTGTTGAATTGTATGTATGAGCTGGGAGCTGCTAGCCGTAGGTACATACATACATACATAAAATACACAAATGTCTGGTTAGTTGTAACTGCGGGACTTTCTACTTAAATGACTCTATGGCTGAGTGAGTAACAGACTGTGGCGTCCTGCTTTGGTGACTTCTTCACGAGCTCTACCTATTTACTATGGATATTTGTTTGTAGCTCACCACAGCATAAATTGTTATAAATGACAGTTATGTTGGGAAATAAGTCATTTGTGTGTTGTAAATGCGTCGACGAATCTAATTAAATACTCGTAGATTGTGTGGTTGGTTAGCAAAGAAGGAAAGACAAGTAATCAAAGCGCGCTTGATTTATGATCACTTTCAGTTGTTTTGCATTGATTTTAGTTGGATTTTAGTCATTTGTGCGAAGAATCTTTAGAGTGATGGTTTAGTAAATAATAAGCAAACTGTTTTTTGAATGTGAGCGGAGTATTTTATTTCGACATTTTCTTCCATCTATGTATGTAGTTATTAAATGTAGCGTAGATGGATGGCCAGATCAGTTTGCTGCAATTCTTATAGGAATTGTTGAGCAGTCACCCCTCTGAAGATCGTTGTAGAGGATGGCTAATGAAGACTTCGGTAGCAGAGATAAGTAAGGATAAGTAAGGGATTATTTAGGGTACGAATTTTGGTCAAACAATTTTTAGACTTTCCCATAAATTTACTAGTAGTTGCCTGAATTAAGTATTAAGGGAAATACATTTATTGCGATGTATTTATAAAGTCATTCAGCTACTGCAAATACGTGATGGGAAGAATAATGAAATAAGGTCCTAATAAAGTAGGGGACGTTTGTGTTCCATGGCAGAGTGCTGGCGAGGACATGCCCCAATAGGTGTAGTCCGTGGTGCTCTTTTGTTGTTCTTCTTATTCATGTCAGCTCTAGGTAAAACGACTACTAGCAGCTGGGAACCTAGCTTTTCCAGGTTCCTAGATGATAAGAATTTTCCTTAGCTCAAGCCTTCTTTTGTGAGGTTTAGGAAAAAAAACTACGTTTCGACATGTGCGCCTCGCCCTGTCAAAGCCCTCTACTGCTTCACCGTTCACTAAGTAGTTCTCGAAAGCTAAGCCACCGCCATAGAGGCACTTATTGATCACACAATTATGGTGCACATCCATTTCAAGATCTTTTGCTCGATAACCCAAAGTCTTTCTGTTGCTACACGCTTGCACACCATTGTGCTGGATGTGGTAGCATCAATATGAGTCTTGCACAGATGTTTTGAGTCTATAATTAAACTATGATACTTCACTTCGTTGGCGATATTGATAACAGCCTAACTCACACCTGAAAGTGTTCTGCTTGCCGATCACTGCAGTTAAGCGTTTGGTGAAAATAGGTTTTCGCATACCCTCGAGTAACTTTAGATGATTTTATAAGATAAATTGTACAGCTTTCACATCACAACCAGCAACTTTTTCAGAAAGCGAAGTATAGCGATTTACTGAATCTAGTACTGAGAGCAAAAATCCTTCGAGATGCTCGGAGGATTTCTAGCAAAAATAGGGGTCATAGAGCTTTGAACTGCTCGCGAATAGTCGGAGGCATGGTTGAATCGTTTCTGAATACTTCATATGTAAGCTGATGCTGACATCCTGAAAGCAAGCTACTCTTATATACGCTTAAAGTAGTCCATCTGCACAGTTACTCGAAAAGAGATTGGCGCTTGTTAAACATGATCGAGGGTCATTTGGATACAGCGCAGCCATAACTTGACGCTGCACGTAAGCCTTTTAGTTTTAGG